GGCTGTGTTTGTCTGTGTCTGTCATGTGACGGCTGTGTTTGTCTGTGTCTGTGTCTGTCATGTGACGGCTGTGTTTGTCTGTGTCTGTCATATGACGGCCGTGTTTTGTCCTCCCCAGACCCGTACATGCCCAAGAAGAACGTGACTCGCATGGTGAGCAACTCGAGGATCTACGAGTACTGGCAGGACTGTGTGCGCAAGGCCTATCACTACTTCGGCTTGCCACGCAGCAAGACGGGCAAGTCTTTCATCTCCAAGGAGGACTTGAAGGAACTGGCGCTGTACAAGGAACATCCAGACACGTACGCAGGCCGGGTCTACTTTCCGAAAGCACCGCCGAGAGAAGGGGAAAGCTTACCTGGCAAGTCACGTGATGACAAAAGCCGAGATGAAGGGGCCAGGTCTTTGTCGCACTCGGCTCTGGTTGAGTCCCTGGATACACCCTCGGCTGTCGATGTCACTCCTGTCACTCCTGTCACTGTGGATGTCACTCCTGTCACTGACAATGTCACTCCTGTCACTGACAATGTCACTCCTGTCACTGACGATGTCACTCCTGTCACTGACAATGTCACTCCTGTCACTGATGATGTCACTCCTGTCACTGACGATGTCACTCCTGTCACTGATGATGTCACTCCTGTCACTGACAATGCCACTCCTGTCACTGACAATGTCACTCCTGTCACTGTGGATGTCACTCCTGTCACTGACAATGTCAGCTGTGATGCTGAGGCAGAGTCTGTGTTGCTCCGAGAGAGGTCGGGCTCCCAGGGGTCGCGAGAGAGGTCAGGCTCCCAGGGGTCGCGAGAGAGGTCGGGTTCCCAGGGGTCGCGAGAGAGGTCAGGCTCCCAGGGGTCGCGAGAGATCTCAGAACCCTTGACTCTGCAGGGGGGTGGCCGAGTGTCTGGTCAACTCAGCTCCACTTCTGCACAGCCACAGTCCAGTTTGCTAACTGACCAATCACAGCCAGAGTCCAGTTTGCTAACTGACCAATCACAGCCCGAGTCCAGCTTGCTCACTGACCAGTCTCCAACTACGTCTGGCGGTGACCCCGTGACCCAGGAGCTGTCTCCGCCCTGTTCCCACCCGTTCACTGCTGCGACGGGGGACACCCGCGACACGGCGCCATCTCTCGCCGACCGTCTCTCGGAGAACAGCGGAGCCCAAGATATACCTGAGGTCCCCACGAGTGACGACGTCTCGCCGACCGCCCCGCACCCCTCCAGTGACCTTGACCAGCCAGCTGGGACGGGAGGAGAGGGGTCGACGGAGCGAGTCAGCGCTGAACCCAGCCCCTCGGGTCATGACTCGGCCGACACTGACCGGGCTTGTGGGGGAGGCGTGGAGGGCCGGTCAGGGGACAAGTCTGTCGGGTCCGGGGAGGGGGTCCGGG